ACACTTAAGACATACAACTGCAACGAAAGTAACAAACACAATGCAATATCATTTTCAATGTCAAAGAACACAAATTGGGTTCACAGGTGTTGTTTTGTGTGGTAGAGGGTCGCTGTCATTGATGCGTTTTGCACCCTGGGCCGTTGTTTTGATATTCCGCTGAAGTATACGCTGTGACATAATAACTATTTTTTTTTCTTTTTTTCGAGGGAATTGGTGGGGGTCAGAGGGCCTAGGTATAAAGCTCACGGCTCGCCACTGCTCAAAGGTTGTGGTGACTGATGTTGCACTCTCTGATCATTCCTGTGTTTTCTTTGAGAGCTCTATTTCGGTTCACAAAAATGTTCAGAAAGAGGTAACCACAAAGCGATATTTAACTGAAAATACTAGGGAAATGTTTACTCATAATTTTTCATCCACACTTGCCCCTGCTAACATCTCAGTAAATGAGCTAGTAGATCATTTTAATTCAAAAATTAAAAATGTTATAGATACCATTGCTCCAACTAAGGTAAAGGAAGTGATTGGCAAGAAAATATCTCCATGGAGAAAGGCCATGACCGTGAGAACAGAAAAAAGAGAGTGTCGAAAAGCTGAACGCAGGTGGCGAAAAACAAATCTCCAGGTTCACTTTGAAATCTATAAAGAGAGACTTGGCCTTTATAATTTGGAATTGAAAAACGCACGACAGTCTTTCTTCTCTGACATCATTACCAAAAACAAAAACAACGCACGTGCCTTGTTTGCTACCGTCGACAGACTAACTAACCCCCCAGTGTCAGTCACCTCTGAATTTCTATCCACCAGGGCATGCAATGATTTTGCCTCCTTCTTCACTGACAAAATTCAGAAAATTAGACAAGCAGTCAGTGCCTCTGCATCAGGTACAGCAAATGTGTTGTCCCTATGTCCACCTAATATCAATTCAAACACCATGACACAATTCCATCAGATTAATGGTAAAAACTTAGAGGACATTATTCAACTTCTGAAATCCTCCTCCTGCTGCCTTGATATTATTCCAACAGGATTTTTCAAAGATGTTTTTCAATGCATGGCCTCAGATCTACTTCATATAGTAAACACATCTCTTCACTTAGGTATTTTTCCAGAGGCCCTGAAAACTGCAGTCATTAAACCGCTCTTAAAAAAGAATAATCTAGATGCTTCAGTAATGAACAATTACAGGCCCATATCAAACCTGCCATTTCTACGTAAAATCATTGAAAAAGTAGTTTTTCAACAGTTGAGTAACTTCTTGCATTTAAATAACTCTTTGGATGTGTTCCAGTCAGGATTTCGTCCAAACCACAGCACTGAGACTGCTCTTGTAAAGGTCTTCAATGACATCCACTTAAACACAGACAGTGGCAGAACTTCAGTGTTAGTATTATTAGATCTCAGTGCTGCGTTTGACACTGTTGACCACAACATATTACTAGACCGACTAGAAAACTGGGTGGGACTTTCGGCAACAGTTCTAAATTGGTTTGAGTCCTACTTAAAGGACAGAAAAAACTTTGTTTCTATAGGTAAATACACATCTGAGTTGACAAATATGACATGTGGGGTACCTCAAGGCTCCATCTTGGGGCCTCTTCTCTTTAACATCTACATGCTACCACTGGCTCAGATAATGAAAAACAACAAAATAAGTTACCATAGCTATGCGGACGACACACAAATTTACGTAACAATTTCACCAGAAGATTATGCTCCAATTCAAACACTGAGTAAGTGCATTGAACAAATCAATGACTGGATGTGTCAGAACTTTCTCCAATTAAACATAGATAAAACTGAGGTAATGGTTTTTGGAGCCAAGGCAGAACGTATAAAAGTTAGCGCTGAGCTTCAGTCTGCAATGTTCAAAACAACAGATAAAGCCAGAAATCTAGGTGTAGTCATGGACTCTGACCTGAGTTTCAACAGTCACATTAAAACAGTTATTAAATCAGCCTACTATCACCTAAAGAACATATCTAGGATTAAAAGACTAATGTCACAGCAGGATTTGGAAAAACTTGTCCATGCTTTTATCTTCAGTAGACTCGACTACTGCAATGGTGTCTTTACAGGTCTCACTAAAAAATCTATTAGAAAGCTGCAGCTAATTCAGAACGCCGCTGCTCGAGTCCTCACTGACACTAAGAAAGTGAATCACATCACTCCTGTTCTGAAGTCCTTACACTGGCTTCCTGTGTGTCAAAGAATAGATTTCAAAAATATTGTTGCTGGTTTATAAAGCTTTGAATGGTTTAGGCCCAAAATACATGTCTGACCTACTGCTAAATTATGAACCATCCAGATCTCTCAGGTCTTCAGGGACTGGTCAGCTTTCTGTCCCCAGAGTCAGAACTAAACATGGTAAAGCAGCATTCAGTTATTATGCTCCAAATATCTGGAACAAACTCCCAGAAACCTGCAGGTCCGCTGCAACTCTTACTACTTTTAAATCCAGGCTGAAGACTTTTCTTTTTGCCGCTGCTTTTAATTGAACTATTCACATCTTAAACTGCACTGTAACTTTTATCTATGTATTTTTTCTTTTAATGTTTATTTTATTATCTTTTCTTTTTAATGACTGATTTTAAATGCCATTTTCTTAATGTCTTCCATTTTTGTAAAGCACTTTGAATTGCCTTGTGTTGAAAGGTGCTATATAAATAAACTTGCCTTGCCTTGCCTTGCCTTATGTTGAGAGCAAGCTGTGAAAACCCCAGGTTAACGATTACACACGTTTGTTTCCCAACTTTGTTACATAATGGATGTTCTGTCATTGATTGCTTTACTCCTACCATGACAACAATTTTTAAGGTTAGATAACAACAGAGAAACTTATCTGTGTTTTAACTATAAAATAGATATATGATTTACAGGTAGAGTGGTTTCTTAGTGTTACAGGTTCGTGCACAGACATTGATCGTGGACACTTTGGACTGACAGTGCTATAGCGCCTGCCAGACAGAAGAATTTGAACAGGTTGTGTTCAGGGTGGGATTGACGTGCGTGTTTCCTGCTTGTTTCCAGACTCAGGAGGAAGCCCTGAATAGATAGATAGATAGATAGATCGTACTTTATTGATCCCAAATTGGGAAATGGTTTTGTTACAGCAGCATAAAAGGCATTTTACAATAAAACAAAATATACAAGAATAGAAATAAAATAAAATAAAATATAAAATATACATGTCGAAATAGAAAATATACATGCAGATATTATATATATATATACAAATATATATATATATATATTCAAAATATATGGAATATGGAGTATTAAATATGAAACAGATTATGTATGAGTGAAATGTACAACGTGGTTTTATTTCTAGAGAAACTATGGAGCAGAGAGTTCTCTTCCAGCCAGAGGTGATTTATTGTACAGTGTTATTGCAGTGGGCAGGAATGTTTTCCAGTATCTGTCCTTGTGACAGGGGAGCTGCAGCAGTCTGTTGGAGAAGGAGCTCCGTTGACTGTCCAGCTGCAGGTGGAGAGGATGGAATGGAGGGCAGGTTGGCGCCATTTCTTTCTGCAGTCCTCACTGTAAATTATAGTCTGTTCCCTATGCTGTTAAATGGCTGAACCAAACCAAACACTGATGCACAAGCATGGGAACAGACCGCATGATTTTAGATTGAATTTGCATCAGTATAAAAAAAGCATAATGCTGAAGGCCGGGCACTGAATTAAATATTTTCCATCTCCTGAATAATTGACATAAGCACAACCAATTTCCCTCCTTTCAATTATACAGTGTAGTGGTCAGTTCGGAGGTCAGTCCCCTGTATTGGTAAGCTTTTTATCCCTAGAGAAACTGTTGTTGGGTTGTCACATGACTATCATAACTTAATTCATTTAATCTTATCCACTTTAAAAACATGGTTTGGATGCAGTGACTACAATTGTGAGCTATTCACTTTTGGTTTACCTTTGGCAACCAATTATTTTCTTGCTTTTTGCGAGTAGATTATGTCTTCTGTCGACTTTTGAAGAGTCGTTAGTGAAAGCCATTAGGTGTCTTCACTGATTAAGGATGATTACCTAATGTTGTCATGCATAATGGCGCATTTCCACTACACAGCCTCGCTCTGCCTCGCTCGGTATGGCTAGGCCTCGTTAGGCCTTGTTAGGACTGGCTCACTTTATGGCGCATTCCCATTACAGTTTAGGAACTAAGGCAGTATCTATAGTAACGCAGTGTAGGCGGAGCCGTGACGTCATCTTCAATGAGAACCCCAGAAAAACAACATCAGCCGTTAGCTGTTAGCACTCAAGCTCACAGCTCCTCATATCTGTTCAGAAACTAGACAAAAGTTAAACAAGTACAAACCACAGACTGTCTGTGTCATGGCGAATACAGTCGCTGGTTTATTTATGTCTGTATAGGCCGTTGTTGTGAGTGTGGACGGTCGGAGCATATACTGCGTTAGCTTAGCCGATCTCCATTTTAAACACGCATTTTAAAAGGTTTTTCGCCTGCTGTCTGTCTGCAGACTTGTCAAAGCATTAATTCATGGTTTTTACTAACCGGTATCAGTATGTTGTTACTTCTGCATCATTTTTAAACGTGTATTACAATTAAATCACGGTCAAATATGTTCATTTTGTTGTAGTTGTAGCCCCCTTGCCAGCGATTCTCTCTCTCTAGTTTAGCATACTCAGCCCGACTCAGCCTGGTTGTTGGCCCGGAAAGAACCTCGATTTTATGGGGCCAGAAAAACTGTGAAATAGTACCCGCTAGCCAGTACTACGCTAAGTGGAAACGCAACCAAAAACGGGCCCCGCACGGCTCGGCACGTTTAAAGCGAGCTCCGCGCTGTAGTGGAAATGCGCCATAAGTGTCCTGGCCTTGCAAATGGGGAGCAAACATTTGCATCCTTTAGCTCAGTTAAAACATTTCTGATTAGCTTCCTGAAAGGTAGTTAATGTACTCATTAAATACAGGTAAACAGGGTAAAATGTCACTAATATTTCCTTTAAGCTACCTCAGTTATTTGATAATCTAATGAACCAATATCTTATCAAATACTTGCTAATGTGTGTACATTTCCTAAACAAACATTTGTACAATGGACAATGGAGCTAGGTTTAAAATGATTGCATTTTTAGGATGTTGGCATAAATCAGCTCAATAGATCAATCCTGCAAAACACTGTTCAAACTTTGGGATAATAGAAAGGAATAAAAACTGGAAAGTGTAGTGTATATAAGTGTTACTGATGAGTATTAGAAAAAAAAAAAAAGAAATACAAAATGGTCCTTTAACAATATACAATATGAAATTTGCAAGAAACAACATGTGGACACTGTAAAAAAAACTAATGTTTTGTTTAAATGTCCTCATTAGCCACATCCTAATGCTTACATGTATTGAATTTATAACAAAGTTAATTATAATAAAACCTACATTTCTAAATTTTTTAAAAGTTGTTTTTTGCCGGTATTGTCACGTCTTAGTGTTACTCTGTGGCCTGAGGAGGAACAACTACAGTTATGTACAGTACACCAAAATACTAAATTAAGGAAATACACATGCCAATATCAGTGTTCACAATAGGATTGCAATGATCATATTTATGTAACAGATTTATGTGTACTATAAAACTTTGGAACTATGGATGTATTTTTTGTAAATCATTTTTTCTTTGTCTACTAAGGATTGTTAAATGTATATATTTATTGTACAATTCAAAGACTACATACAGGATTGCTATAATTCTACTGAACTTTTACACAAAGGCATGTTTATGTCATGTCTGCTGTGTGGCTTGAAAACAGTCCCAACTGGACTCCTAATGCTACTTATCAACATTTAGAGTACAGGCACGTGTACTTCTTTGGGGTATTTAAAAGTGTGGAATGCTATTTAGAGAAAATACCACTTTCAACAGAGTGGTGTGGGGGCTGGGTGGTCAGATTGGCCACTTTGAAGCTTTTGATCATTTTACTTTCAGTTAATCAAATCAAATCAAATCAATGAGAGAGGGGATTCTCCATCAGTATTTTCACATAAATAGTGTCCCAATAAAGTCCCATTCCCACAAACTGAGAGACAGTGGATGCAGCAGTAAGGAAAGGGGTGACAAAGTTATCCCCTTGAAAGAAGTTTTAAAACTCTCTTGGGACTAGAAGGTATTTCCATTGTGACTCTGTCCCACTGGGGGTCCAGCTCACTCGACTGAGAGCTCAAACACTCTGGTACTTAGCTCAAGACTTTAAGAGGGATACCACAGCTCATACACTGAAGAATTTCCCAGATTGCTTTCTCTCTCACGAGAAGGGAAGTGTTTATATATGTTGTATATAGAAAATGGGTGACTATGATGAAGACACTGCATTCCTGGGACAGACTGGTCCTTTTTTCTGGACCACATTCTTCCTCCTCAACACAGTTTTTGTCTCAACTGGATTCAACGGACTTTACATGGTGTTTATCGGGGCAACTCCGAATCATCACTGCCTCATTCCAGAGTTTAACTTAACTGAAGAGTGGACAAATGCCATCATCCCTTTTACGTTAGTAAATGGCGAGGAGGTGAAGAGCCAGTGCAGTAGGTACAGTCTGGACGTGGTGAGAAATATGTCAGCTGAAGGACTTATTCCTGGAAGGGATGTGAATCTCACCGACTTGGCGCAGGAGGGATGTTTAGATGGATGGAACTACAGCAAAGACATCTACCAATCCAACATTGTCACAGAGGTCAGTATGAATGTGCTTGTGTGTGTTTACAGAGTGTCATTAATATGATATTTGAAGTTTTCTTTGCTTTGTTTTTGTGTTTGAAATATGTATTGTTTTTTTTACAGTGGGACCTCGTCTGTGATGATCAATGGAAAGTTCCCTTTGCATCCTCAACGCTCTTTGTGGGATACCTCTTTGGATCCCTGATCTCAGGCCATGTTTCTGACAGGTATTTCATCCTTATTTATCAGTAGCTTTCCCCTAACGTTTTTATTTCATTGTTCATGTAAAATTACACCATTTTGATCATTTACTTGGACTATTATATCTGAGGGCTTCTTATTATTTATGTACTGTAATGTTAGTGAGTGCTTGAAAAAATACAAAATTAACTATTAAGTTAAGTGAGGTTTTCACACTGTAATGAGTGTTGCTTTTTTTAAATGACAACAGCCCCATCTACTGTTCAGGTTGATCTCCTACAAAAGAGGATTTGCTGTCACTGAGATAGAAGTATCTTGGTCTAGAATAGCAGACATATATTTAATCAGTAGTAATGTACTAAATGAAATACTACAAGCCGACCTAGAGGGCAAATTTGTTTTATTATGATCGTAGATGTTGTTATATGTCAACAGACTGTCAAGTCTGCTGAACTTCATCATCTTAATGAAGAATTTGAAATAATTTCACCTCACAAGCACGTCCTTTGATTAAATTAAGAATTATGATTGAGTATTTGATGTTAGTCATGAGATTAGGGTTGTGTTCCTTTTGAGTGTGGAAAACCACAAGGCCCTGGAGACACAGCAGCACTCTGTTTAGCCTTTTTGCAGCTGTGAAAACTGACCCCCCCAATGGTTGTAAAAGAGGGGTGAGGGCCTCTAAGGTTTTTGAGCTTTTTGATCATTGCGTCACATTTAGTAATTTTAAAGACAAAAGTAAGATAAAGATTTTATTATAACTCCCTAATCCGTGTATCTACCGTCCAATTGTTTTTCTTTATTAAACACGTAAACGGAAGAGCGTCTGAGAGGCGTTTTTGCTTTTTACCTTACTAATGGCGCGTTTCCACCACACGGCCTCGCTCGGCCTCGCTCGGTATGGCTAGGCCTCGTTAGGCCTTGTTAGGACCAGCTCACTTTATGCTGCGTTTCCATTACAGTTTAGGAACTGGGGTAGTAACTATAGTAACGCAGTGTAGGCGGAGCCGTGACGTCATCTTCAATGAGAACCCCAGAAAAACAACACAGCCGTTAGCTGTTAGCACTCAAGCTCACAGCTCCTCATATCTGTTCAAAAACTAGACAAAAGTTAAACAAGTACAAACCACAGACTGTCTGTGTCATGGCGAATACAGTCGCTGGTTTATTTATGTCTGTATAGGCCGTTGTTGTGAGTGTGGACGGTCGGAGCATACACTGCGTTAGCTTAGCCGATCTCCATTAGACAACACGCATTTTAAAAGGTTTTTCGCCTGCCGTCTGTCTGCAGACTTGTCAAAGCATTAATTCATGGTTTTTACTAACCGGTATCAGTATGTTGTTACTTCTGCATCATTTTGAAACGTGTATTACAATTAAATCACGGTCAAATATGTTCATTTTGTTGTAGTTGTAGCCCCCTTGCCAGCGATTCTCTCTCTAGTTTAGCATACTCAGCCCGACTCAGCCTGGTTGTTCCTGGCCCTAGAACCACAATTTTATGGGGCCAGAAAAACTGTGAATAAGGACCCGCTAGCCGGTACTAGGCCAAGTGGAAACGCAACCAAAAACAGGCCGCTGACGTCACAGCTCTCTTAAACGGGGCTCCGCGCTGCAGTGGAAATGCACCATAAATGGTCTAATGGTCATTGGAGCGAGGGGCGGGGCGAAACTCACGGAAGTGATTTCAAAACAAAAGCACTCGTTTGCTAAAATCACGCTTTGAATCACTACAGTATCCTGCTGAAGGAACGGTGATTATTATAAACAAGGGGAATTTAGCGATCACAACGAAAACGGCCAAGACACATATTGAACCCAGAAAATGGATGTTATTAAGGGCTGTAAATATATTAAGCCTATGTCTAAAATGTACAACATTGTTAGGAGATTTAAACTATACAGCGATTCTGCACTGCGGTCAACACAGCCGCCTCTCGAGTTAGCTGCTCTTCATTATTCCTGCTATATTTGACGAGTGATACAAATATTTTTTTTCACAAGTTCTTAAGGAAACTGACACTCTTGGACTCGGTACTAGTTTGACTTCTACCAGAAATAAAATGAAGTACTTTTACTGTGTACTATTGTGAGTAATCCTCTGTCAAAGTACCCTCCATAATGCATGTTTTTCTGCTATCTTTGATGAATGATAAAAATATAATTTTACCATTAGTTCTTAATGAAATTGATACTGTTTGACTTTGTATTAGTTAGCCTACTACTAACAATACATTGAAGTACTTTTACTGTGTATTTTTTGAGAAATACTCTGTCAAAGTCTCCTGCTGAGAACAAAATCAAGCCACTTCTGCTAAGTTTGATGAGGGAATTCTTTTTTGTTGCCATTAGTTCTTCGTGAGATTGATCCTGTACTATGAAGTACTTACTGTGTACTTTTCCAGTACTCCTCTGTCAATGTCCCCTCCTGAGAACAAGAATGCATGTTTCTCTGCTATTTTGAATAAGCGTTAAAAAACCTTTCTTCATGAGACTTATATTGTTGGACAGAGTATTTTAAGAGGATATGGTGAACATGATATCAGCAATACTTCCAGTCAGTACTCCGGCAGCAGCATTTTACACCTTGGAAAGTCTTTAGAGTCTGGCCTGGATAGCTGGTCTATCCTTCAGACCCATGATCACAAAATGACCCCTCTAGAGTCTGAGTGCCAAGGACCTCATATTATGTATGTCATTAATGTTACATCACCCATTATAACAATTTGCTTTCCTTTTCTCTCTTCTCTTAACTGAATAGCCCTGTCTTTAAGTATAATACAATGTAAAGTCCTTTTCCTGCACCATTTTAAGGCTTCAAAACAGGCATTTTTACTGTGTGTTTTTGGAGAAATTACACAATAAATGGCCAAGAATTGTACTTTATAAACTCTGAATCTTGTGGTGCTTGAAGAAATACACTGGCTAAGCCGGCCAGGTTATATGCCTTTTTTGGAGCCCTTTTTTGCAATATTTATTCAAATGTCACTAGTTATTTAAACAAACCACTATCTGAGGATTATACAAGCAACCATAAAACACCCGTTAGAGAGCCATTGAAGCCCATGAATAATGTATCCTTCCACAAATCTTTTCAACTGCTTTATTAATAAAGTTGCCACATGTTTTCAAATTTAAAGGGGACCTATCATGCAAAATGCACCTTTGTACGTCTTTTATACATGAATATGTGTCCCCGGTGTGTCAGGGAACTCACCAAGAGTCAGAAAACACAACCCTCTCTATTTTCCTCCATATCCAAATCTCTAAAAACGGGGCTGCAACGGATCTGATACAGACTGATACAGATTTGAACACTTTACTGACGTCAGGACGGTGGCGCTACGGCTATTGGGCCAACTCCACCAATCAGGAGGAGACAGCCACGGCCATTGCCGTTCGAAAGTGCTGGAGACGCTGTAGTACATATGCTAGGCCTGTAGGTGGTGCTGTTCTCACAGAATCAGCCCTTGCAAAAACAGGGCTAAAAAAGTGCAAATTGAGCGAAGTGAGGCATGGCTAAAATGCATGATCTGTTTGGTATTTTGAAAAAAAAAAAGTATAAATATGCCTTATATAGGTATGGTCCTACACTATATTATTCAAATATAGCATGATAGGTCCACTTTAAGTTAAGGCACTATCTAGGTATTTTTTTTTAAAAGTGTTCAGAAAGACTGCATCAATGATATGCTATATATATATATATAATATCAATATTTTTATTAACTAAACAAAGTCAATTTAAATAGCGGGCAAAAATGGGTTAATTGCCATGGATGTGGTGTTTGATATAGTTTACGTTCAATTTCAACTACTGTATTTTAGGCAGAAAAACGTATATTGACTAAACCTTTTTTAATAATTTACTATAATTTAGAAAGGTTTTTGTGAGAAATCATTTCAAAAGTAAACTTTTTTTTCATTTCATATTTAAATTTGAAATGTTTGCACACAACATTATTAAAGGTAGGGTAGGTAAGTTTGAGAAACCGGCTCGAGATCGCTAGAATTTGAAAATACACAACCGGAGAAAATCTGCCACTTCCTTATAGAGCCCCTCCTCCAACACACACGAACGCGCACATGACCAATGAGGGCACGAGATAAGTTTGTGCCCCGATGGAAGGCTGACAGGCAGGTAGGCCATCCAGTTATTTTAGCCGGGCCGGCTAAAATGATTGGTCGTACTTTTTACAGTATTATGGCTTCCACAGATGACATTTTTTTATGGATTTTTTGTCAAAGCACTTAAGATATTCATTGCTATCGGGATGTTAAGAGCATTCCATGGAATATAACAAAAAGTGTATCTCGAGCCGGTTTCTCAAACTTACCTACCCTACCTTTAAAGGTGGGGTAGGTAAGTTTGAGAAACCAGCTCGAGATCGCTAGAATTTGAAAATACACAACCGGAGAAAATCTGCCACTTCCTTACAGAGCCCCTCCTCCAACACACACGAACGCGCACATGACCAATGAGGGCACGAGATAAGTTTGTGCACAGATGGAAGGCTGACAGGCAGGTAGGCCACCCAGTTATTTTAGCCGGGCCGGCTGAACTTTTTTTATGGATTTTTTGTCAAAGCACTTAAGATATTCATTGCTATCGGGATGTTAAGAGCATTCCATGGAATATAACAAAAAGTGTATCTCGAGCCGGTTTCTCAAACTTACCTACCCCACCTTTAAGTGCAGATTTGTAACTTGATATGTTTAAATTCACATTGCATTTTTCAACTGTGCAGGACACTGTTGCATGTGTCCACCAGGTTTAAGAGAAGGAAAGAAAATAACCAAGATAATGTGAACTTGAATAATGAATCATAATTTTCTAGCAAAATGTATTGACTGGCTACTACTGCCAACATACATCAGTTTTAAGTTTGTATCTACTTTTTGCTAGCACAGCTATTGCTAGGCTTTTGTTTAAAAAGCGGCAAAGCAATCACAAAGATATCACTATCATCATATTGTATAAATGCTTCTCTCTGTGAATCACTGTTAATGATATAACATTATTTTTCTTCCAGGTTTGGGAGGAAGAAGGTGGTTTTCATCTCTCTTGTGGCCCAGAGTGTGGCAGTCATGCTTCAGTCCTTCTCTCATTCATGGCAGATGTTCTGCGTCATGTTCCTCTTTGTCGGAGCCTCACAGATTTCCCTCTATATTTCTGCGTTTGTGCTAGGTAAGAATCGTAAAATGATCCTCCTCCTATGTTTGATCTTTTATGTAGAAATGATTGTGCCTTGTGCATGAAAGGTGGGGTAGGTCATTTTGGAGAAACCAGCTCGAGTGCGCTAGAATTTGAAAATACACAGCCGGAAGAAATCTGCTACTTCCTTACAGAGCCCCTCCTCCAACACACACGAGCGTGCACATGACCAATGAGGGCACGAGATAAGTTTGTGCACAGATGGAAGGCTGACAGGCAGGTAGGCTATCCAGTTATTTTAGCCGGGCCGGCTAAAATGATTGGTCGTGCTTTTTACAGTACTACGGCTTCCACAGATGACATTTTTTTATGGATTTTTTGTCAAAGCACTTAAGATATTCATTGCTATCGGGATGTTAAGAGCATTCCATGGAATATAACAAAAAGTGTATCTCGAGCCGGTTTCTCAAACTTACCTTTAACCAGAGGTGGGAGTAAGTCCTACATGTGCAAGTCATGAGCAAGTCTCAAGTCTTGACCTACAAGTATCAAGCAAGTCCCAAGTCACTGTGGTGAGAGTCAAGCAAGTCAAGTCAAGTCATTGCTCAGGTCAAGCAAGTCAAGTCAAGTCATACGAAATTCTGATGAATAAGCCCAGTTTCCGCATTTAAATCAGTTAAAAGACAGTGGTTATAAAAATGGATTCAACCCACACTATGATCTTCATTACATACACAGTTAATCATTTGAAATCTAATTTAGAACGATGACAATCATATTAGATTCATATTAACCCCAGAACTGCAGACAATATAGCTAGGACTCAATCAAAAAGTCTGTTCAAAAAGGCAGAATTCCAGGTAAGAAAATCATATATGGCATTTGCCATTACACATATTTAATTTAAATGTCTGTTAACACTAGAACCCAACAGCGTCAGCACCTACATAGATATAATTTTCAAATCATTGAATTTGTTCCTCTTCATAATTTCCTTATAAACTAAGTAGGACGATTTAAAACTCACTTAATTGGGTTAATTTAGAAATTGCTTCAGTTTATCATCATAACAGATCAAAAAGTTCAGATTCATTTTACAATAAATCAAGGAATGATGCACTTCTACAAACAAAAACAACATAATTAAAACATTTAAACAAACTACTAAAAGTAGATGAACTACATGATTCAACAGTTTACAGTAACTTCTGATAATAACACAGGGGAAATAAACGAGGCATCTCTTTTCCTCTCTCTCTCTCTCTCCCTCTCCTGATAGCCCGTCAGTATCGGGGTTAGTCAAAATGAATCCCTTGGAGGTTCTAGTGTTCATTTACCGTTTTGTCTTCTCTTTGTAATGCTTAATCGATTTGAAACCAAGTCTAACGTAGCTTAAACTTAACGTTAGCTTTCTAGCTAACACAACACATTCACGCACCTTTCTCTGTGGGTTTTTTTGTAGTGACGAATGAAGTCGGATGTTGTGGTGGTCCTGTCACTGATCTTTATGCTGCAGACCCTGCATACCGCTGTTCTCTTCTTATTAGCGTCATCGACAACATAATCCTTGAATCCAAACTTCACTATTTTTGGAGTAACGCTAGCCGCTGCCATGTTAACTGACGCTCCTGCCGTCTAGTGGGTTGCCAAGTCAAAGTCAAGTCAAGTCTTTTATCAATGTTAGTCAAGCAAGTCTCAAGTCAAAAAATATGCGACTCGAGTCTGACTCGAGTCAAGTCATGTGACTCGAGTCCCCACCTCTGCCTTTAACCATTTATAAAGAAGGTAAGAATCGTAAAATGATCCTCCTTCTATGTTTGATCTTTTATGTAGAAATGATTGTGCCTTGTGCATGAATAGATCATTAAGTGTCTCTTTTTATTCGCTCAACAACTTTGATTTTATCTCGGGCAGGAACGGAGGTTTTGAGTAAAACAATGCGAATACTCTTCACAACTCTCGGAGCCTTCCTCTTCTATTGCATTGGGTACATGACACTACCCTGGATTGCATACGGCATCAGAGAATGGAGGACTCTTCTGGCAGTTCTGTCCTCAACTGCTGTTGTCTACATCCCTCTGTGGTGGTACGTCACTCATAGTTCTCATTTATAAAGTCATATACTGACAATCTGCCAATAGTCAAACTCCTGGTTTAACAACATGATGTGATAATTCAAATATATATTTAGAAAAGTAATGTTGAATCTGTATCGATTGTGCAGGTTCATCCCAGAGTCTCCTCGATGGCTGATCACCCAGGGAAGAGTGGAGGAGGCGGAGGCCATAGTGAGAGAGGCTGCACGGAAAAATAAGATTGAAGCCCCAGCTGTAATCTTTAAAGAATCTGAGGTACAGTTCACATATTGTCTGTAAAAAATACGACTGAATGTTTGTGACATGTTTAATGATAATGTCCGTTTGCCCCCAACATTTGTCTTTTTACACATGGAGACAGTAAATAAAGTGTGGTCACATGTGTTCCTCTGCCACTTTATAAATGCTAGCTGTTGTTATGTCTGCTTCTGCCTAGCCTAAGCTGTTTCAAAATGACAAAAAATTAGTGACATCCCTCTGTCAAGTTACTAATACGTTATTCATTGATTTCTTGACCCTGGCACCTTAGTTAGTAATGATTAAAATAAAAACAACAGTTATCACTAAAACAATGTTGGATAGGTAATCCCATACCCTGAAAGAATAAAAATAATTTAAATGGACTATTAACATGTTTAATATAGTCTTTGTTCAAGTCAGTATAATGTAATGTAACCACATTAACTCTCTCGTTGCAATTCTTTCCGTCACAGGCATCGGCACAATTTAAGAAATACACCATGCTTGACATCCTAAAATCCAAGAAAATCAGATGCATAACTTTGATGTGTCTCATTCTGTGGTAAGTGTTAGTTGTTTTGAATCATTCTTCAATTACATAACGGTAAAACAATTACTACTGCTATCTAATTATGGGAATATGCATGTAGTGTGTTAAAAAGTCAAAGTGACATAAAATGTACAATCTAACCCTGCATGTTATGTGTTTTCTGATCATTTGTTTTTTTCAGGATGGCAATAAACATCGGGTATTTCGGATTGTCCCTGAACACCTCCAACCTGAGCGGCAACCCCTTCATGAACTGTTTTTTATCAGCTACGACTGAAGTCCCTGCATATGTCGTTTCAACTGTGCTTCTAAAGAAGTGTCCGAGAAGAGCACTTCTGTCGTCGTTCCTCGTCATCGGAGGAGGAGTTCTTCTTCTCATCCAGTTCATCCCTGAAGGTAAGATTTCAGACTAACAACCAAGCTAACACACACACACACACACACACACACACACACACACACACACACACACACACACACACACACACACACACACACACACACACACACACACACACACACACACACACACACGATTTATCACACATTAGAATTGCCTGTCTGTCAGCATAAAATCTAAGATAAGATAGAACTGAATTTATCTCTGTAAGGAAATTGTGCTGCAACAGCTGTAGTGCAAAGTAGGAAGGGGTACACATATTTAATAGTTTTTTTCACCTAAATTACATACATATGTGTTCATTTGCTCATTATTCCCTGGAAAGCTCTGCTGCATACCATATTACTGTAATTGAGTAGAATTTGCTTGTGGACCTTAGAGCATTTAAAAAAGTAAAACTTCAACAACTTCTCTTTTCAGACATAGTGTCTTCGTTACTCTGGGTAAACAGCAACACACTATGTATAGGTTTTTCTTTTTTTAAATTGTGGTATGTTGACTATCCAGAGTACGAGAAACACATGTCCCTGTTGATCTATTAAAAATGTACAAAAACAAAAGGAGAACAAATTATAAATATAGAGTAATACATACATAGATTGCTGTATGAAATCATTTGTACTTTGGGTGAGTTGACTCTAATAGAAGCTGCTTGTTGGGTGGCGCATTATGTGTTTAGAGCATTCTCCCACCTCTTAAGCTAAATCAACAATTTAAACCCCTGTTGGATTAGCTTGAAACTGCATCATCACAAAGTTAAACCAGGATTGTTCTTCTTCTGAGCCCATAAAACTTATATTTTTAAATACTTCAAAAGATTCGAACAGGACTGCAATGCTACAAAAATGTTATAATTTTATTGAAATCTACATCACTGCGACCTTTGTTCAGTCATAAATGTCATCGTTTCCTAAGAGGAGATCATGTTCAACGTGCAACACAGGGTATAGGTTTATATAAGAGGGGGCTGGTTGTGCAAGATTATGTCATGAACCAGGGGCATTTCCTGGACCTGGAAACATTCGGGGCTTAGCCCACAGTGGCAGCGCCAGAGATTTTCTTTTGGGGGTGCTGTGGGGTAGCTTGACATTTCATAGAGTGTGCTCAAACATGTAGGGTTTCCCATTAAGGTACCGGGCGCTACAGTGGAATGTTCTACTGCAACACTCCCCACACGCACATACACAGTACACCCTCGATAATCAGCTCACGGCATATAGGTGTAAGCAGGGGTAAAGTGCTTTTTTTTACAAGTGGGGGGTGGACCTAACATCCTCTAGGGGGGTCCGGGGGCATGCTCCCCCGGGAAGATTTGTTTTTTAATATTGAAGTATTGAAACAGAACTGTAAACAGATTTTCTTTTTCTTTATGGATATTTTACAAATCACTCCCTTTTTAAACTCTATTCTTGTTTTACTGTCATATAGTATTTCATAACTGTTTTTCATTTATTCTCTCTCTATTTACACTTCTTGCATGCTAGATGATGAAGATGCATCACTTTTTAAGCCTCCGTCTCTTTTTAAGCCTCCGATTTGCTTTCTACAAAACTTGTTGCCAACACTGTGAAGTCCTTGCATTTCCTGAGGCCAAGTTGAAGGATCAAATACTAAGAAATGATCACATGACTTGAAGTCATATCTGATTTCAGATGTGGGAAGTTACTAAGTACACTTATTCAAGTACTGTACTTAAGTACAATTTTGAGATATTTCTACTTTACTTGACTTTGATGCTACTTTGTACTTCTACTCCACTACAGTTCAGAGGTAAATGGTGTACTTTTACTCCACTACATGTATTTAATACCTTTAGTTACTTTACAGATTTGGATTAATGATGTGAAATATAATCAAGACGGAGTAAATTCACAAGCTACCCTGCAGTATACAAAGTCATTCAATTATAAAACATATCATACAGTATATATTATTCTGAAATGGACCAATCTGCACAATGAAAACTTTTACTTTTGGTACTTTAACTATATTTTGATAATACTTTTCTAATTTTACTTGAGTAACATTTTGAATGCAGGACTTTTACTGTAACAGAGTATTCCTACACAAGATCTGACCACTTCCACCTCTGTCTGATTTCAAACTCTTCCATTAACACCCTGAGTAAGTTTGCAACTGTGTGTTTCACTCATAGACTGTATAAATGTTTCACTCCACTTTGGTGTAAATAAAACTGCAGCAGCTTGACCACAGAGCGTGAACGTTGTGATCAGCTGATTTTGCGCAGTTCTCCAGTGTGTGCGCGCGGCACAGAAAGTGCACAGGTGAGTCTACGGGTGTTTCTCAATCGCGAGTAAAGCTGCTTCAGAGCCACTATTTCAAGCATACTACGTCATCGAGTGCCGCCGAAGTACTGTTCCAATCTCCAGCATACTTGGAAATCTACCGAGCCCGGCGTACTCCGTTTGGAGAAATATCGAGGCTACACATGAGTAGACTCCGCGGTCTTAAAATCCCCACAATGCTTTGCGCACGGACCAATTTCCCCAAATCTGTGGCGGAAGATGTAAGGCGGGGCCTCTCATATGACGCACACCTGCACACTTGCTAGCGTGTTCCACTCTTCGTTTTCCGAATGCCAGGAAGTATTCTTGACTCGCTTCTGAAGCAAGATGCTCGGCAGACATGTGCTACCAAGCAAGCGTACTCGCGATTGAGAAACACCCTCCCACTGCAGCGAGTTGGCGGAGTTTTGGCACAATTCTGTTGTTCAAACCGACGTTAACCCTGTCTGTGCACACGGTGAACAACTCTGTCGTCCAGTGATAGCCTCTGCCTCCTGTAAAGCTTCACAGGTCCGTCGGTTATGTCCTGCGCGGCTCGGCCAGCACCCAGTTCAATCAGTCATAGAAAGTCCGAAGATTTTTTGCAGGGAGCGAAACGGCAACGTAGCTGCTTAATATCTTTGTTTTTTTTTACATGTCTAGTAGTTTACTCCATTAAGTGTTGACAAAAAACACGGGTAGACGAAATATGTGTTTTGTTTTGATGTTTTGAGGTACGCAAAGGCGCGTAGTGACTCAAGTGACGCTATGCAATTCAGATGTTTGCCGCGCATGCGTACCAGTTATGTGGCTACAGAAAAAACATTCGGGGCGGCGACGCCACTGTCATGAACTAAAATGTGCAGTTTGCAGTTTTATCACATGTTAATTATTCTCTAAGCACCTAGAATAGTGGACTCTGGATTAATACATAAGCCACATCTGGAGAAAGTTGCTGTGTTACTGATGTTCCCTTGAAACAAGCAAAGAAACATCTGAAATGTACTTTCTGTCATGTTTTTAATATTCATTAGTTTAGTATTTTAGTGCTTAGAGTGTGCTACAGTGCAGTAAAGAATGATTATATCATGTTTGTGTTTCACCAGATAAAGTGAAGCTACATATTAAACAGACCCAGTTTCCTAAAGGCTTAGCAAATAGACCCTTGCACAATCACCAAACTGACCTCAAAATTATTTAGCAATCAACTTTATTGCTTTCGAGGAATAAGGGAGAGTAAAATGCACACTTGTGTGTGTTCTACACTATAATGGCCTGTATCATTTACTTGTTGTGGCAAGATGTTCAAGAAGCCAGACTCTGGATAATGTCATCCTCTGGTAATGGGTTCAAGAACGTTCAAATAAAGAATCGGTGCTGATAAGATACCAGAAAAGACAGTATTCAGGCCCTTTATTGTCCCTCTTTCCCAGAAGGGACAATAAACATCTGAACTGAGGTCAAATCGCACAGTGTTTGGCTAGTTATTCCCAACTGAGATCATTTATATTTCTTTAATGCATAAGACTTCTGTTCGCTCCGCTTGGGAGAAACTTGATGATTTCATATGACCCCTTTTTTAACATGTCATGTATTTAAAAAATATAGAAATTAGAAAATTCATTCATAACTCACTTCCAACATCCTCTCTTTCTCCTCCTCAGATCTTCAATATGTTGCTCTGGCACTGGAAATGACTGGAAAGTTTGGCTTCACCATGGCCTTCAGCGTCGTCTATATTTACACCGCTGAGGTTTACCCTACGGTACTCAGGAACGTGGGCATGGGGATGTGCTCCTCTGCGGCACGCATTGGCAGCATCACAGCTCCTTATGTCATATATTTAGGTGAGAAGATGAGTATATTATCTCACAATGTATATAAGACATCACTGCATTGACATTCTTTATGAGTCCAAAAGAACATCTGCTTTGGATAGCATCAGCGACATGTACACATTTATTGAAGTTTTATTTATATTCAAGTAAAATGGTGTCTTTTTATAATGAAGAATTTTGCTCCTTTTTTATTTTCAGGTAGTTATAATAAGGCTCTTCCTTATATCCTCATGGGAAGTCTCACAATTGCCTCATCTGTTGTGAACCTTTTCCTTCCGGAGACCCTCAACAGAGATCTTCCAGAAACAGTGGAGCAGATGCAGGAATGTCAGGGGTAAGTTCATTCCACTTAAAATCCTGTGTTTTTCATGTAACTATTACATATTTATTTTTGAATCAACTTTATTATTATTATTTGTATTATTATTTTTTTTTTTTTTATAGCAGGCTATATGGTTTTCTTAAAAAATGTACATTTGGTTTTAAGATGTTTTTTGTATATATTGTAATACCCTGTATGTGTGGTAGCTGTGTTGCTTAACTGCTTTTCTTGGTCTTTCTTTTGATTGCAGGTTGTGTAATGGGCTGAAAAAGAGGAAATATTTAGAAGATGAGGGAAGGAAGAACCTGCCCATACAACGTGAGGTCAGACAGGATCTGCAGGCTCCGTAGATGTTCTCAATGACCTAATTTCCCTTAAAGAAATAAAGAAACAGAAAGTGACAGAAATACATTTATCATGCATGACAGTAATAATCGGAAATCTGACAGATCCAAAAGTCCACTGGCAAGAGTTTTTTTTATCTTGTTTTCTTTCTCTTTTTTTTAAACAGTTTTTTTTTGTACTCAGTTGATGCTTGCTAATTAGAAAAAAATGTTTTGGCAAAATTCCAAAAGAAAAGTTTAGGTTCTAAAATGTATGTATGAAATTGAAGTACATGTTTGATTGGTATGTGAGTCTGTGTTACACAATACTTGAGATTAAAATATAAACATTTGAAACCACCATGCCATTATCAGTTGTTTTTTATTTAAACATAAATAATGATCTTAAATGTTTGTTTCTCAATGTGTTAACGTTGTTGCTTTCAGTGAAAAAGTGATACATAATAAAAGGCAGCTAGAAACAGCAAGCCTCGCTCTGTCCAAAGGGAACAAAATACAACCTCTGCAGCTCAAAAATCAACATGTATTACCAAACTTATTTATCAATTATAATACAATTTACCTTTACTGTATGTAAGCTGGGACAAGTATCCAAATATATCAAGACGTTATATGTCCGAGTCTACCATGCACTGACAACAATAGTAGAGCATTGATTCCCATCAGGAAGGTGTTCTGAATACTTTGGAAAAGGAAACATTTCATACCTTTAGGAGTTGACATGCAAACTAACACTGATCTTTATGGTTGTGCCATTAAATAATGTCTTATTCGGCAGTGACTTTAAACTGTGACTGCTAAACTAAATGCATTATTCCAAAAAGCGGTTTTGAGTGTGATCTGAAGGCATCTTTAAACATTCGGATGAATCTCAAGCATTTTTATGTTGTAGGCTATACTCTATATTAAGAAGTAAATCAAAATGACTAAATAAACTCACTGGCCCTCGTAAGTTTATTGTTGACCACGAATGCGTAATTTAGAACTACTTTATCTCTAAACCAAAATCATAATCATTGGAAATAAAACGTTTGGTTTGGTTATTGTTTAACTTCTGCTTGGCAATGATTAACTCCCCTGTCAAGGATTCTTTTCATAACATTTTTATATATTACTCAAATGTTCTTATTACTTGAGTTTGATAGATTACATCCAAATTAAACTAACTTATATTTGAAATGATTTTGTAGCAAAACAAATTTAGAAACCCTACGATGTAGAACCTTTTACTTATTTCAACCATTTATCCATTAATGTTATGCATTATTGTTTATAAAAGGCATTGTGTTTATACAAGTGGAAGAAGTTCACATAGTTTCAGAAACTTTGGTTATTATGTCTATGCCACGACGTGTGATATGGTGAAATATGCAAGGCCTCAATAACACGTTGATGTTAAACCAAACCCAGATTGCTGTGTAACTGCAGCTCATGTCACACTGCCATAAAAAGCTTAATTGCTCATATGTAGAAAGTGTGTGCAGGAGAGCACACTCTCTTGCGTCTATCAGTATTCACTCAGTGTCTGCTTACCCTTTTCGTTTTTTAAATGCCAATGACTAATGAAGTAATGGACAGCTCGGATATTAGAGATTATGACACAATCACGTCTTTTCTTGGATCTTGGGGACCCTTTCAGCTAAGGATTTTCTTAGCAATGGCCTTCAGCATACTGCCGAATGGATTTGTTGGCACCTATATCGTATTTGTTGGTGATACCCCTCCACACAAGTGCTTTATTCCTGATAACTACAGTATCAGCGAGGTGTGGAGAAATGAGACGATCCCTTTAGAATTGGTTGATGGCATCTCAAAGAGCAGCTCTTGCTCAAGACTTAACCTGGACATTGTCAGAAACTACTCTCAGAATAATATCATCCCAAATGTGGACGTAAATGTGAGTGAAATTCCTCTGGAGAAGTGTCTGGATGGGTGGACATACAGCAAAGAAATCTACCAGTCAACCATTGTCACAGAGGTGAGTGATAAGTCATCAATTATTTTCCCTTTGAGCATGTTTTCGTGGTTTCCACAGAGAAATGGTCGTATCATTTGTTATGTCTGATAGAGAATTATTCATATGGCCATTTAGTTTATGTTCTAATCGTTTTAGCTTGTTGCTTCTCCTCTGAATTCTCTTTCCAAACGGCCTTGGACCTTGAGTTACCGGTGTGATAAGGAAGGCCCTTTCTTTGTACTTGGCATTTAACCACAGCTGTGGCCTAGACATGACCATAAAATAATCACTTCTTCAGACGATAACAGGGCAGTCATGAAGTATAATATTGATTATGTTTTTAGAAGTGGTTAAGTGTCAGTGACATGGGAGAACATCAGAGTTGGTTTTGGCAGAGGCTGTGTCAATATGGTGTCTCAGAAAGTGTTTTTGTCAAGTCTACAGCCGTAACTTTCAATTAATCTTCAGTGTCTGACATCAATTCAAAGCTCTGAAGTGTAGTTTTTGTGTTCCGGTTTCATCACAGTGTCTAGTTTTCAGGAAGCTAAAAGTTGCTAGAATCAACAACAAAAAAATAATAATTATAATTTAAGTTTACAACAATGTGATTACTACGACTGCTGCTTATAATGATGCTCACACAAAAGTGACCTGTTGTGTGTTGTTGCGGCCACTATTACTCATAACATTTATATGTGTTTGATATTTTGCATCAGCTACTTCTTCTACTAGGCTTTGAATATTAGTACTGTTATATGATATACATTTGGTTATTGTACATCTTTATAACTGTGATTAAACGTTGTCTTAGTTATCATAAAAATGGGACATATATGAAATAGTGGCGATTCATTTTCACACAGCTACCCTAAATAAAACGTGTTGTTTTTGCAGTGGGACTTGGTGTGTGACAATAAGTACAAACTTCCACTGTCTACCTCGATCAATTACATCGGTGTGCTAGTGGGAGCATTTATCTCAGGCCAGATGTCTGACAGGTTGGTACTTCATAGTCTGAATACTTTAACAATCAATTATAATATTACATTTACAGTTACTAACTCACTAAACTGTATTTCATTCACAGGTATGGAAGGAGGCCAGCCCTCTTTCTCATGATGATTCTTCAGACAGTGGCGATCACTGCACAGATATTCTCTCCAAACTGGGAGATCTTCTGCTTCATTTTCTTCTTTGTTGGTGCTGGCGGGTTCTCCAACTATACCATTGCATTTGTGCTAGGTAGGTTTTCCAGTCAGGATTTGGAACATGTTATATTTGATACTTGTTGAGAAGTTTGTAGATGTCATGTTGACCTCTCTAACCTATAGGTAAAACACAAGTTTGTGGTTCAAAACGTATTTGGGCCGAAGAGAAAAACTGCGTAGTATTTCAAGTGTGTAATGCAAGCTTTCAAAACACAGATCAATATATTGATTAAATTACTTGGCTATTGATCTCACATAAAGTTCTAGGACAGAACTGACTGGCAAAATCACTCAGAAACTTGAGTCTCAGGTTTTCAAGTTCTCATTTATTTTTGTACAGGAACTGAAATACTAAGCCCAAAGTCCAGAGTGATCTTCTGCTCCATGGGTGTGTTTATGGGCTCAGCCTTGGGTTACATGGCAATGCCAGCTGCAGCCTACTTCCTCCGTGATTGGCGGATGCTGCTGATTGCCATGGCTGCCTCTGGACTGATCTACGTCCCTATATGGTGGTAAGAATTAGGGAGGGACAATTAACATCAGGTCTTTATCCAACACTTTCAGAATGTGTAGTGTCTGTAGAACAGTGATCTTCAACTGCAGCTCTGAATGAAATAAAAGTCTAAGAGCTTTTTGCCAGTCTGTGGTTGAAGCTATATTTTCTGCACTTTGCGGATCAGCCATGAAATGTAACTGAACTGACCTAATACATCTTATTTGCTCTCATATGTGTTACTTCGGATCAACAGACACGATCAGCTTGTGTAAGCGTTCGTCAACAAAGCATATAAACAGGAGCATATCTCCTGCAAACTGTTCAGATGTTCATAGATAGCAGTAACAACACTGCGTCCTATTCAAAACATTGAAAACGTTGGTAGAGAACAGGGTCAATATATATAGCCAATAAAAGTGCTGTTATACAGTATAATCTCATGGCAATCCATAGTAAGAATTTCTATATATTGTATTGAAACTTGCTCTCTCATACAGAAACCTTTACGTTGCTTGCATGGTTAGAAAACATTTATATTGAAAGGAACTTGTAAGTAGAAACTTTAAGAAACCCTATGAGATAGGGTGGTGATCAACCAGATGTGCATTTGCTAAACCAACTAGTTATTCAACACTAAGGCTTTCTTCTAAATATATCTAAATATGCTTTAATCTAGGTAAACATTGTCAAAATGTTTTGCATTTGATCCAAATGGTATATTAATGTGGTGCCCCTGTGGGTTCATCTTGAGAGGGTGTGGCTGTGCTGCATCCAGCCGCCTTGATTGTAGTAACTCAGGGCACCTGGGTCTGGTGCCCTGCAGCTACATTTTAAAGTCTCTCTGCTCCTCTCTGTTTTCCCTCTCTGCTTTCTCATACAGGCACCCGGTTCGGTTGAGTATGTTATTAGTTATTTCAGTTGTTTTACTTTGTGCACCTCAACACCCTCACACATACATGTTCATGCAATCCTCACCCTGCAGTTACATTACTGCAGTGACGTGCGGTGAGGTTCATGGCTGGTGAGGCACTGACTCTTTCAGAGTCAGATTTACAAATATTATAGCCTATTTTGACCTTAATCGAAATATTCTGTTATTTTCAAAAGCTTTTTTAGTCTGATGCTATGATTAATTTTAAACAGACCGATCAACAAAAGGATACCCAAAATCTAAATATTGGATTGTTCTTTCTAAGTAAGATCCCATTTTCATTACAGTTGTGGTCTTACCTTGACTTGAAGATGAATAGAAGTCCATGCTATCCTACTGGACAACAATCTCTATTACTGTTTTGTAAAAGTCCTCCTTATCTTCCTGTAGTTTCAAAAGTCTAGTTTGTTGTTTGCGGTAGAATAACAGTAGCAACAAGAACCTGTGGGCTCACGTGCGCCCCCTTCAGTGCGCCAGAGGTTATGGCTGCCTCTCCTGGTGCTTTTTTCATTGCCGTTGTACGATGAGACCAGCGAGCCTAAAGATCATATATACGTGAAATAAGTTATTTAGAGACTATGGATGGCGAGGATAAATGTAATAAAGGGATCTACAAACATTACATTGGTGACCTACAGTGAGATGGGAACAGGCATGCGCTTAGGGCCCGCTTTCCAGCCAGTTTCTGTGGGGTGACGCATTCTGAGGTGAGGCAGATCTCATCTGTGCCTCACCTTACCCCACAGT